AGAGTCTTATTCATCTTCAGTAACAAGTTTGATGGGGGCTACTTGGCAACCAAGCATGGGTCAGGGTCAACCATATCTATTGGACAAGAAGGCTGGGGAGGGACTTTGGCCAAGGGCAGGGAGTGACAGAACAAGGGGTGATGGCTTGAAACTGGAAGAGGGGAGATGGAGATGAGATGTGAGGAAGAAATTATTTGGTGTGAGGGTGGTGAGACAGTGTCCCAGGTTGGCCAGAGAAGCTGTGGCTGCTCCTCCCTGGAAGTGTTCTCGGCCAGGCTGGATGAGGCTTTGAGCAACCTGGTCTAGTGGAAGGTGTCCCTGCTGCTGGCAGGGGGTTGGAACTGGATGAGCTTTAAGGTCCCTCCCAACCCAGACCACTCTGAAGACTCTAAGACACAGGCTTGACCGTCAAATACTTTTTAAATGCTTGTTCAAAGCCATCACTCTTCCTCCAGAGATAAGCAAGCATCATTTGGCAATTTAAAACAGGAGAATCTATATCAGTTTTCTTCTTTCCTTTTCCCACTTATCAGACTCCTGTTTGATGCAATATCAGACAAAAAATACTCTGAATTTGTCACCGGTGCTTGTTTTTGCCAGTGGTTATGATGTAAAGGTTATTTTTGCTATTATTTTTCCAAAACTTTTCTTCAGTTGTTGGAGCAAAACCAGAGCTGAGTTTCTTTAATTCCAGAAGACGCCCTACTGTCTGTAGGGAACAGCGGACCAAATAACAAGAAAGCATCATCTCACTTTTGTTAGCTCTGTTTCAGTACTGCTCTGCCCGTGTTATTTATGGAGAGATGAGGATTAAGTTTGGAAAAGAAGAGTATGATTTTTGGATAATAAGTATTATAGATATCATAGCAATAGAAGTTGGGTTCCAGGGAAAGAAGTTGATGTTCCTATCTTAACGTTTTCTTTCACCAGCAGAATATTTGATTGAAGAGGAGAAATGTTTTCCTTCTACTTTCATATGAATAGTATAGAGCAAAATTTTCTGTTTTTTCCCCACCACTGGTTAATAGGTCCTGTCTTCTTTTGCTGATGGTATGAATACTCAGGCACGTAGATGTCTGCTCAGCCACGTCCTTTTTGTTGTTTCACGTGCTCCCCTCGTGTTTACCTACCTTTTACGCCTACATCCTCTCTGTCTCTTCGGCAGCAAGGCTTCCTGGGGCATGAGCTATCTCAGTTCCCCATCTGCAGCACAGGGAGGCTGTGGGGGACTCTGAGTTCCTCTTGTGGCAGCAGTAAAAATATACAAACCGGTGATGGCTCTTCTTCCTCCCATCACATGGCTGCATTTTCTTTTCAGCCACCTACTACTGGGACAGCTTAATGCCAGCAGTCGTTTCCTCGATAAGCCATTTGTTTCAAGAGCTAAAAAAAACCCAATAGGATCTTCAGAGAGATTCAAGGACCAAGCTCCATGAATCTTCCTACCAGAGCACATAATTTCAAGCAAACAATAATGCCTCCTAGGAACAAAGCTCTCATGAAAGCTGTTTTTGTTTGGTGTCTACAATGCTGCTTGGTTTGGCAGCTCCTTTGGGGTGATGCACTCTTCTGTTAACGTACAAAAAGGCTGTTCGGCATCTGCCAGCTTTAGAGGCTGGGATGGAGAAGATCTTCCGCTGAGGATTTACTGCTGGACCCTTTCCATATTGTGCTGCAAGGAGGTGCCGTTCCCTGAACGCTGCAGATTGCCCCCTTGATTTGCAGGGAGCAATTTCTTGTAGTAAGTTACTACCCCGTGCAAATGATGCACCTTCTGCGTACATCTGCGGCGACGGGAGGCGATAGTGAATGTCATGTGTTGTAAAGAAATTGGCTTAAGATGGTGAAAGGGAGAGCAAGGCCTGAAAGGGGTTGGCAGGATGACAGTGAATAGAAGGAAACAGCTCCAAAGTTTTTGGTGGCTGTGTGCAGGGTCCTCCCTCTGGTCACTAAGAATTCAGGGGTCCACAGATCACAAGAGCTAGGCTTGAGGGACTAGTAAGTGTGAACACTTGGAGAACAGCAGCAGCAGTGATGGTAATGAATGCCAGGAACAAGGTGGAGAGACACATCTCTGAGGGTGGATGGAGACTAAACTCCATGTATTGTCATTCTGGAGAGGTTTAGGGGAGTTTGAGGAGAATTGGCCAAGTTATGCACAAGTTATGTGGAGGTTAAGATGAAAGACAAGAAGCCACTTGTGTCCTGGCTGTAGCTAACTGGAGATGCTAATATCTCTCGCCCTCCTTTAGCTTCCCAAGAACAAAATTTGACAAGCCTTTGGCACCCATAGCTCTGGAGAAGGTGGAGGGGCTGATGCTTGTGGGGCCTGAATGACCTAGAAGAGCCCTGAACTTCTCTAGTGACCTTCCAAATTGAGCAGAAGGAGCTCTGCCCACAGTTCTCCTGCGTGCCTCCCAAGCTGCGTCCTGCTCTGTGAGCCTTACACAGCAATCCTCTTGGAGATTCAGTACGCGTCTGCCTCGTTCCTGGGACTAGATCTGTGAGAAGCCCAAACAGCAGCAGGTTGTTGGGCTTCAGGCTCACACTGTTGCATTTAATGAGTTTGAGAAGCAAATCTCCAGTAGAAGGAGTTTAAAGGGTGGAGATGCTTTGCAAAACATCATTATAAAGTAGTATCATGAAATTCCCTCCCATTAACATCCAGGTCAGGATGCTGGGCACTTTCTGTTCCATAGCACAGCTTGATTTCTATTTTTTTTCTGAATGAGAATCAAAACAAAAGAGCATTTGGTGTTTTTAAGATTTTTGTGTGTGTGTGTGTGTGTAAAAAGTTTGGGCTGATTATGATAATTCTGTTCCCAGCTGAACTTTTCATATTAGCCTTGTATCAGTTAAACTCTAAGTTAACAAGTTAAAAAAAACCCAACCAACTAACCAAACAAAAACCACAAGGTGAAAAGTTGTGTCAAAATGAAAAAGTGTTGCATTCACTCCATGTGAATGAAGTAAGTGGTTCTTTTCTGCTGTAAAAGTGTTCACATTTTGCCCAAGTTGATATTTCCCGGAGAAAGCTTTGGTTTAGATGAAATGACACGACAGCTTTATTTTACTACACATTTACTTTCTTCCTGCTAATAAATTAGTTGTAAAATTTGAGACTCATACATTGATGCTGATAAATTGTCTCTGAAATGTTGTTAGACTCTCTTCAGCCTTATAGGAAACTTTATCTCCTACCCTGGAGTTATGCTTTACCAACAGAAGTGAAAAATAGAAAATCATGTGCATGCCATGTACACAGACAATTTATTCAATTAATAGGAGGGTGTAATTTGGTTTTTGTCTTAACTTTTCTAACTGCAGAAGAGTTTAGGGCTTTCAGGCTCACAAAACAGGATAGAGACAAAACTCTCCAGACAGAAAAGTGTTGCTGTGTGTGGAGAAAACAGCACATTTTTTCAGGTGTCTCTGGAGACATACTGCGCCCCATTCTTAATATCCTGGACATGTTTTCAATTCTTTCCATCGGAAATCAAATAAATACTGACAACTTAGCCCTGCACAAGCAACTGCTATACAAAATTGCAGATCCTATATCTGATTATTTTATAGCTAGCAAATAAAAAAAAAAACCCAAACTTTCATTGTTTGTAAACACTTTTGTTAACAGCATTTTAGCCTTCGTGCTTTTGTATATGATTTATGTTTTATCTCCTTCACTGCAGTACTTAGTTTCCACCTGCCACTAAGAGACTGTCCAGTTCAGCAGTATACTTCCAACAAAAACACCATCTCAAGCAGACTGGATTTGTCAGATTTAGCAGATCAGTATCCCAAGTTCTTTAGTTAATATTCATTTCAAGCTTTTAGCTCAGAATATATTTTTCTTTCCTAGTGTTGAGCTAGTGTCTACTTAAACTAGCCACAAGGCCAAAACTTGTACAAAAAACCTAATCTGTTTTAGAAGCCCTTCCAAATAAAACAGCAATTTGACATGTTGAGCTTGTACTGCCAAGTTGGGGGGGGGGAAAAACAAACCAGTTTGTCAAAAGAATTATATTTTTATGTAGCCACAAGAACACTCATTCAGTTCATACAATACTACATTGCCAAACAAGCTCCAGCTCTCTTTGAGAAACAAACCATGAAGGACCAGCAGAGCAGACTAGTTTTTGTCAATAGGTGGATCTTGTTTTTATCCTCTTACTTTTACCACACAGCCACATGATTTCTGAGAAGGGGAACAGGTATTCCTTCTGTTCTCTCTGTATCTCCCGCAGCTGACGTGGACAGATGAATATGTTTCCATGGTTTGCTACCTTTCTCTGCCCTTCTCCCCCCTTTCTGTTTCATAACATTGGTTGTTTCCTTGTGGTTTTCACCTTGGTGTAAATACTGCACTGAAGTGATGGAGTTGGCAGTTTCTGGGAGCAGATTCCCATCAGAGGTGTCAGGAAATAAGAGCATGTTTTGGGCCAGACCGCTGCAAGCTTCTTGTAGGTATGATTTGTTTAGGCAGTAGAATATCATAGTGCTGACAGTAAATGATGCAGAGCTAGGAAGTCCATGTCACCAGTTTCTGCCATTTGTACTTGTGGTCTCTCCCATACCCATATTCCCTTCACAGGGGAACAGGGAGGAAGGTTTCAGCCTTTAAACCACTCATGTGTGATTGATGCCCGTGCTGTTTCACATCTGCAGTGGAGTTTGTCCTGGGTAAACTGGAGAGGTTTCCTGGTAAGGTCACTGGGAGCACACATGTTGTATTGAAGGGTATGAGTAGTGGCAGACCCTTTTCCTTCTCCAGTGAATCTGTGTCAGCTCATCACTAAAGAGGTTTGTATCTGGACTGTGTCCAGATCTTCTTTGTTTCTCTTCAACAAAATAGATTCTTCCTTCCCAAAATAAGGTTTTGCTTATTGATTTCAGATCAGTCAGGCAGCAACAAAACGAGGTGACCCTTTTGTGCCAGTCTGGCATCTAACAAGCTGTCTTTTTTGCCTCTACAGGTCCCTGTTGGTACTGAGATTGAGGGGATGAATATCCTGGGACTGGTGCTGTTTGCTCTGGTTTTAGGAGTGGCCCTGAAAAAGCTTGGCCCGGAAGGGGAAGATCTGATCCGCTTCTTTAATTCATTCAATGAGGCAACTATGGTCTTGGTTTCCTGGATTATGTGGTAAGTGTGTGACTGCAGATACGTCTGCAGTACATATTATCCTCAGTTCAGGAATCTCGCCATTTCTCCAGTTTTTTTCCTACCAGGTCCCTCATCACAGCAAAAGTGAATGTCATGGTGTCACATGATGGGGTCTTTTCTTCTTGCTTGTGCCTTTTAATTAGACAGTCACACATAGCTTAAGGTATCAGTCTGGAACACTTCAGAGGGTTGCTTAAAAATCCTCTCCAATACTCCTTTTTGATGATTAGTGGGAAGGAGACTTTTCATTTCAAAGCAGTATAAGCCCATGGCTAGCTGCCATCATGTGCCTAAAGGCACTGGCCTTGAATGAATGAAGGAGACATGAGCATGTGAGGAACATAGTCATGTGAAGGCCAGTGATGTTTGTGCTTGGAGTGCACTTACAAATGCAGTGCATAACTGAAATCCTACTGGTAGCTTCCTTCTGTTGGTCAAAAGGTTACTTGTATTGACCTGAAAGATACCTGAGGAGATCAGAAGGTAGCCCACTCACTGGTTTGAGAGAAACCCTGTTGAGTGTATGAATAGAGAGCCCCATCTGTCCACTTGCATCAAAGGGTGATGGAGAACCTCCGTCCCTTTGTACAGTCTCCAGGGCTGTGCTCTCCATCCTACAGAAACAGTAGGGCTGGCTGTTGAGTGTTTTGTCATTGTTATCAGCAAAGCCTGAGTTACACAGTGGATCTTTAAACCTCCCATCCTCTTCTAAGGTCTCTTTCTTTTTCTTGGGTGAAGCAGGAACTAACGTTACTAGCAGAGTGATCAGCTGTTTCTTTCCAGTTTGTGCTTACTTCTCCCTTGCTTCTCTTTTCCATTTCACATCCCTGAGGGGAGGTGTTTCCTAAGGTTGGTTGTTTATTTGCCTATTAATGAACAAATCCATTGTTTCACTTACTTCCCTGGAGTCCAGGCACATTTATGAGGTGAATGTTGCTCTGACTGATCTCACAAAGCTTTTGGCACCAAAAAAAGCCTGTCTGTTACGAAGTGGAGTGCACTAAACTTTCTCACTAGACAGCAAACCAGTGTTGGAGGAGGCAGGCACCTCTAGAGAGTAGTTCAGGCCACCTAAGCTGGGGTAGGACCAGCCTCCTGACCAGGTTTTCTGGCAGGTAGGATGAATCTGGATCTCAGAGCAGTATCATGGCTGTTCTTGTGCAGCCAAATGGGTCTGGGCTGCTCCTGTGAAACCAACAGCACTAATACCTCATGTGCAAAAATAAAAATATTCTGAAGGACAACTAGCAAACAAATTAACAGTGGGACATTTCTCAAATCCCTTTCCAAAGCTGTTGGAAAGGCTATAATCTTACCTTAGCAGAGGTATTTTTTTTTCCCTTCATTCTCCATTTTTCATTCCTACTATTTTCCTTCCTCTAAGTAGCAGAAAGGTTTTAACAAAACACTTGATTTTACCACAGGCAGATCTTAGTGTTAGTTGCTGTCATAAGGGATTGAAAAATTAAAAGTCTCAAAGCAGCTTAAGTCTTTTACTCTTGAGTGTAATTCCTTGGACACTGAATACTGGTAAGAGGCAGTTCGTGTATTCAGCTGATTACAGTGCTAACACTTCAAGCCAATCAGTTGGTATGTAATCCTTTACTGTGTGGATTATCGAGACCACAGCTGACTCTTAACACTGCAGTTAACTGTAGCCCTTACTTGTTCTCTTTCCTTCCTTAAAGCTCTTGTGTCGTTCTGCTATTTATTCAAAGCCTGTCCAAGCTGCATGTACTTCCCAGAGGATACTTTGGAATGACTGAAATCATGCTACCAAGAGAAGAGGCAGCTTGAGCTCACATCTAGTCCCATTCAACAGCTGCTCTGGTGTTTAGCAGCACTTTGATCTCAACTTTCAGTTCCTCCAGCTTCCCACTTCAAGGGGAGGGGTCCAGTGTCAGCTCTGAATCCAGTGTTCATGCTTGCAGAGCTCGTGCAGGACCAGGGCTCAGGTACATCTGGCTAATTGGGGTGCTCAGAGGTGTAGTTGAAAGGCAGTGTGTCACAGCATTGGCAGAGGCTAAGTGGGGAAGGTTCAACAGGCCACCCTAGATGTTTGGCCAAGGGAGGTCAGAGAGGGGATGTTCACATTGATCTGAGACATAGGGATGTGCTGTCTGCACAGAACAGAGGAGCTGCAGAACCACTGAGGGAGAAGCAGGTTAGGAAAGAAGTGAGTGATCTGAGCAACCTTAAAGCTTGCCCACCTTTCCAAACCTTTGCACGCTTAGCCAAACCTTCTGAAGTTCATCCTGACTCCACAGACCAGCATCTCCAAACATGGGCATTGGATTGGAGAGGAGAGTGGGAGAAAAAACATTCTTTATTCCTGACACGTACAGGCAGATCTTTTGTGGTTATGTGTGTGCCCAGGGCAGGGTTTTGGAGAGGTGGGTGATCTTTTAGTATTTCTTAATCTTAGAAGCAGAAATGAATGGAGCATGGACAGCATCAGCAGAAGTACTCAGACACAGACATCCCAAGTAGACCTTCAGAGGAACTGACCCTGGACCTGAAGTGATTCCTGCAGGACACTGAGTAGCCATTGTGCTGTAGGTCCAAAGGCAGTTCTGTCCTTTCAGGGCTGTTTCCAGCTGCGCTGCTGGGACCAGAGGTGTGGCTGTGGCCTGCAGGTGGCCCTTCCCCTGGAGCAGCTCCAAGGGTTCCTGACAAAGCAAACCTCAAACAAACATTGGTGTCCTAAGACGTGGCATGTTTCTAGATAGGAGGCATAGGAACGTAGGTGTACGTGGCATGTTTCTACATAGGAGGCGTAGGAATGAACGTGGCTGCTGGCTTGAGGGAAGCTCTGGAAGCCTGATCATTTAACTTAATCTTTGTAGGCAAATAGCAGAGTTAATTGCTATCTTTGGCATGTGCATCAGCAGCCTTTAGCTGAGCTCTCTGGTACAGACATAGCTTTTTCATTCCTACACTGCTATGTTGGCAGCCAGTATGTCTACCGTTTTAATGACCTAACTTCATACTTCTGCTGGTAGTCACCACATGTGTAAGATCCTACTCTTCCACCCCTTTCTCTGCTCCAGTGACATGATCCATGACATGATCCAGTCTCCTATGAGGACAGGCTGAGAGAGTTGGGGCTGTTCAGCCTGGAGAAGAGAAGGCTCCAGGGAGATCTTCTAGCGGCCTCCCAGTACCTGAAGGGGCTCTAGGAAGGCTTGGTAGGGACTTTGGGCAAGGGCAGGGAGTGACAGAACAAGGGGTGATGGCTTGAAAGTGGCAGAGGGGAGATGGAGATGAGATGTGAGGAAGAAATTCTTTGGTGTGAGGGTGGTGAGACAGTGTCCCAGGTTGGCCAGAGAAGCTGTGGCTGCTCCTCCCTGGAAGTGTTGAAGGCCAGGTTGGATGAGGCTTTGAGCAACCTGGTCTAGTGGAAGGTGTCCCTGCTGCTGGCAGGGGGGTTGGAACTGGATGAGCTTTATGGTCCCTTCCAACCCAAACCAATCTGTGATTCTATGATACTGCTCCTTTTTCTTTCCTACCATCTGCTGTTCCTTCAGCAGTGACTTTAGCTTTAGGTCTTTGCCTGCCTTCCTCTCTGATGGATGAAAACTCCGCACCGGGGTCTTATCCTGATAGCTTCTGCCAGCATTTCTGCTTCCCACTTGGCTTCCCTTCGACACTCTCCGAGCTGTGTCTTTGAGGGCCTAGGTGAACAAAGCTTTTTCAGTTTGGCTGCTTGCCTTCCACTAAGCAAGAGTGTTAGAGAGGACTTCCAAATTTCCTTGACCTGTGTGTGTGGTGAATAAGGTGCTACCCTTCAGGAGAGGCAGCACATTCTTTAGAAGAATGTTATCTCCAGGACAGGGAACAGCATGTTTCTCAAGGCTTTTTGATTGTATTTAATTTTTGATTCTACTTAATGACAGGCAGTATTTCTTCACACAGGTATGTACCTATTGGCATTATGTTCCTTGTTGGGAGCAAGATCGTGGAAATGGAAGATATTGTGCTTCTGGTGACCAGCCTGGGAAAATACATCTTTGCCTCTATTCTGGGCCACTTCATCCACGGAGGAATCATTCTGCCGCTTATTTATTTTGCATCCACACGTCAAAATCCGTATCGTTTTCTCTTAGGACTTATCACACCACTTACCACTGCTTTTGCCACTTGCTCCAGGTGGGTTTCTGTGCTTCTTTTGGGATTATAGCCCAGTTAGATTTGTCACTGTAAACTGATTATATCCCGACACCAAACTGTGGTGAGTTTTAGGAGTGAATATTGTTCCTGAGGTTGCAAAAAGAGACTTCTGAGCGTAGAGGCTCTCACTGCTGTCAGCAGCCTGCCACACAGCACCTACTGATTGTCAGCTGTTAAAAACAATTCCTCAAAATATTGGGACTGTAGCATGGTGCTGAGTTGGAGATTTTTGGAGGAAAAGGTGAAAGTATTTGCCTTAAAAACATTCTGACAGCTGTCCTTTCCATTTTAAGTAAAGTGATTGTCAGTAGTGAGGGACTTTGTCCCAAGACACTTTAGTTCTCCAAGTCTAGAAGGGTGTGGAACAAGTTTAGACTAATTTTGCAGGAGCAGAGCAGACTTATTAGCTAGTGTAAAGGGACTTAACGTTATTGATTTCAAAGATCTGGCCTGATCAGCTTTTATTTGTCATAACCAAACTATCAGGCATGTCATTTACACTTTTCTCAAGCAGCAAACACCTGATCAAATATCATAACTATATAAAATAATTTCAGGCCATCTCCAAAAGCAGATGCATGCTTGTTTCAGGAGCTGAAGTACATAAGAGGGTTTATGAATAAAACCATGTAATTTATAATGCAATAAATAAATCCTACAGTGTGGGGTGGGTTTTTTTTAATTGTTTGTTCATTTTTTGAAGGTACTAGTACAACATTAACAGAGATTGCTGTTTCATCTCTTGTGTTTAACTTGGCATCTGCTGGATGTATTTTTGTGGTTTGAGACTTGATTTTGAGACCCTGTTAGGCTGTGTGCTGTGTTAAGTCCTGAGTTCTTGCATCTGGGAGTTCAGTCCTTATCAACTCTTTCTGAATGGAAGCAGATTATTAAATCCTGCTGCTCAAGACCCAACAACGAGGGTGTCTCATTGCTATCCTGACAGGGAGGGACTATAAAATGGCATCGTTGTCTTGACAGTCCTGCCTGCAGCATGTTAGAAACATGAAAGCCATGAGAGATTGACCTGCCATTCAGTGCAGCCTGGTGCTTTGTGTTTGATTTTTCTCTGCTCTCTGTTTCTAGCTCAGCCACTCTCCCGTCGATGATCAAATGCATCGAGGAGAACAATGGAGTCGACAAGAGGATCAGCAGGTTTATCCTTCCTATCGGGGCGACGGTGAACATGGATGGTGCTGCTATTTTTCAGTGCATGGCAGCTGTGTTTATTGCTCAGCTGAACAATGTTGACCTCAACCCTGGGCAAATCTTCACGATTCTGTAAGTTGCTCTCTATTGCAACCACATCCTTCTGGCCCCCAAAACACATTCAAGCCTGTGGTCTCTCTGTTAATAGCTAGCAGTTTGCATTCCACATCTCTGACCTAAAGCTTGCAAACTGCTATGAAACATAATTATAGAGTGATTAAAGGATGGAGTCTTTCAAGCTTTATAAGATTTGCCAGAATCTCAGTTTAATAAAAGGTGGAACCTGGGAGGGGTAATTGAATTCTGAAACAGACTTTGAGCTGTTTAAAGCTGTTCCTCACACAAAATTCCTCTCCTTCCTTAAGCTTCTCACTCCCCCACCCTCCACTCACCATTAAGCTGGGTAATTGAGGCGTGCTGCTCTACCCAGAAAGCTACCCCTGATTCCCCCTCTGGATGTCTTAGAAAATCCTCCTGCTAGCTCCTCAGTTCCTTATGTATCAATTTTATACTAAAGACTCTGCTGCTGCTTATCTCTGCCCCTCCTACCATCGCATCGCTAGCTTCCCAGATCACACTCCTGACTGCTTTGCTCCATTATCCCCTCCACCACCTCAGTCCTGCCTGCCTCCTTCTCTACCACTCTCTCCCCTCCATGCCTGGAATATCCTCTTATATCCCATGAAGTGTCATTCTCTTCATTTCCCTCCTCAAAATCCCTGAAGTGAGGATCCTACAAGGAGTTCTAGCCCCTCACTGTGCAGAGAAGCCATAGCTGTATCCACCAGGTGCCTCCTACGGCCAGTTCCTGGCATTTTTTTTACTCTCCTTGGCCACATTTTATTTCCTTCCTTATTGCATTTCCCAATATATTGTTTGTCTATTTAAGGCAGGGCTGGGGCACTGTTTTCTTTGCAAATGGCCAAATTAGCCTTTCAGGTACACTTAGTAAATCAGGTGTTTAACACAGGCCTGAGGATTATGCAGCGATAACCCAAGGAAAACTCAGTTGTAGACATCTACATGTGAAAAAGCGCGTGGTCCATGTCTACAGCACGTGCACCACAGGTTTCCAGCCCCTGATTTAGGGTCTGTGTTTGAATGCAAACAAGACACAAGGGACAGTACCATGTAAGTTTTACCTTTATACATTTGGGGCCAGGAGATACAACGTACTCAGCGTATTAGAACTGATACATGGCTTGGAAATGGATCTATTAGTAAGGCAGCAGGATATAGTTGTGTTGGTTGGGGTTTTTTGTTTGGTTGGTTTGTTTTTGTAGGGTTTTTTTTTCTGAAAAGCCAATCATGGTATTAAACACAGAGCCACTGCTTTGGTAGCTGCTGTGGATACCTGCTGAGCAACTGTGCTCTGTCCTTGTGACAGGCAGGAAAGGGTTTGCCTGGGAAGCAAATGATCTGTGTGTCCCATGCTGTAGAGTTTGTTTACAATTCCCATAGCTGGGAAGAGTGTTGACGTCAATGTAGGAGAGGAGTGCTGCAGAGCTCCTGCTAACTGGGTACACAAATTGATTTGCAGTGTGACAGCTACTGCGTCCAGCGTGGGTGCAGCTGGGATCCCAGCCGGAGGAGTCCTCACCATCGCCATCATCTTGGAGGCCATCGGACTTCCGACCAACGATCTCTCCTTGATATTAGCAGTGGACTGGATTGTGTAAGTACTTCAGGCCACACGTATCTGCTGGTGCATGACATCTAGCCTGTTCAGCTGGAAACCTGCAGCAGGGTAGTCCAAGTAGCACAGTATAAAATAAAACCCTACAAACTACAGCTGCCTACAGGACAGGTGACTTAACAGCTAATGGAAAAGGTGGTCCCGTCTCAATTAAAGCAGTTAGTATGCTAAAATCCCTCTTCAGCTTTTTCACTCAGTCTTTATTGAAACATAGATCCAGTGGAGGGCCATAAAGGTCCAGTGGAGGCCACAAAGATGATGAGGGGCCTGGAGCATCTGCCTAACGAGGAGAGGCTGAGAGAGCTGGGACTGTTCAGCCTGGAGAAGAGCAGCCTGAGAGGGGATCTGGTCAATGTCTATAAATATCTGAAATGTGGGGGCCAAGTGGATGGGGCCAGACAGTGGTGGCTGATGACAGGACAAGGGGCAGTGGGTACAAACTGGAAGTTCCAGACAAACTTAAAGAAAAACTTCTTTCCTGTGAGGGTGCCGGAGCCCTGGGACAGGCTGCCCAGAGAGGGTGTGGAGTCTCCATCTCTGGAGATGTTCCAAACCCACCTGGAGGCTTTCCTGTTCCACCTGGAGTAGGGAAACTGCTTTAGCAGGGGAGTTGGACTGGATGATCTCCTGAGGTCCCTTCCAGCCCCTGTGATTCTGTGATATTTCTCCCTGGTTCATTTCCGTTTAGAAGAATTGTTAAAATTTTGTTCAAGAAAGAAGGTGTTGATATTGCTGGAAGTTATTTGGAGACTAAAAGGGAAGGGTGGAGGGAAGGAAATTGAGTCTGAATAGTAGTGGAAAGCTTTCTTGGTCACATGTGTGAAGCAGTCTCCATCAGAAGCTGTTGTCAGCTATTGTTTGAACTATTTTTATAGTTCAAGACTGGTCAAAGCACCAACACAAGTGTCACAGAGAGGTTCTGTCCATTGGCAGGGCAGG